CAACGACAGCTGGTTTTTCTGCGGAGGTTGCCCGCGGGGGTTCTACAGCAGCAATGGCTTTGGCGACTCGAAAGGCGAAGACATCGAGTTGTCGTAGCGGGTAATCGACATACTCGATGCCAGTCCGCGGGTATGATATCACTGGTTGCTGCGATGGTGGTAAAGATGCGCGGTGCCGGACGAGCTCATCGACTGTCAAGGGCTCTCTGTTGGATACTTCAAGATGGACTTTGCTTTCTGAAGTATGCCCTTCAGGAAGCGGTGTTGGAACAAGTGGTGAGGATAGCATGGTTGGTAGATACTGAACGAGTCCAACAGAATGCGCAGTTGGCCTTTCGAACAAACTTGGAGTAAGAGAGGGGAACAAAGTATATTTAAACCCATCTTGACTTGATTCCTTCACTTAGGGCATCTGCCGATGATCCTCAAATCCGACGTATTGCATCCAGGTCTACCTGTCGTGGAGCGCGGAAATGCTGGCCCATCGCTCGGATTTATATCCGAGCGGAGATGAGCCCTCCCACCTCTACAGTAAAGTCCGAGCATCATTGACCGGAAAAGTCTTGCTAGTGCGTCGTTTGCTTGCATCAACCGAGTCGTTTGTCTGACAGAGGACTAAAAGGGCATATATGTATTTACTGCCAGCTCACCTTGCCAGTAGACCACCAAACGCCTCGACATTTCCTGATCTACAGACAAGGAGTCAAATGCATTGAGTAGAATTCCCCTGAAATAGGAAGCACGCAAATATCCATCATCAATACCATAATCTCGTTAATAACAATGCCATGTATCGTCGCTCTACATAAACAGTAGACAAAGGAATGATGTCAGAACAAGCAGCTCAGAAAGGCATCGTAGAAGGATCATTCATAAGATTCGAGAACGCCTGAATGAAGACCAGTAAGCATTTCGAACTGGCACTGGAAACTGCAGCAGCTGGAGTGGACATCTACTTACCCAGGAATCGAGCTGAGCCCACCAGATCGAGCCTTCAAGGTTATCAAGAATACCAAGGTCATCAGAAGGTCCAACGGGCCCTTCTAGGAAATTTGGCGATTGGATACCGCCAGGTGCGGATTGATGGACCGTCGCGTTGGTAAACACGGAGGTTGGTTGCTCGAGATGCGCCGGGGCTGCATGCCCTTGACCCACCATGAGAGTCTCTTTACCTCGTACGTAATTGTTGCGGAGACTTCCATGAGAGTTTTCCGGACTCTCAGGCTGGATAGCTGTTCCCATCTGCCGATGTACTTCCCTTCTCAACTCCTCCAGGATGATACTGTAGCGGCGGCTAGGGCAATTCTTGCGGGTAGCCTCAGCCAGATGTTGTTGGCAAGTCTCTGCAAGACTGAAGAGAGAATGGAGATAGCCGCTGTCTTCTACACTCCTAGGGGAAGCGGTGTCAGGATTCGAGGCGAGTCGGTGTTGTTGAATAGTGTGGATATAGACCACGATAATGGCGCAGAAGCACACATAGTGCGTAAACCAGAATGACTGGATCAAGACCCCCTGTTTGGCCAGGCTATCCACTAATTTCATCACGTCTTCCGCAGCGTCTATACATTTGCGCACGTGGCTCGAGACCATCGGATGCGGAACCGATGGTCGACGACTAAGATCCGTGAAATCGTTCAACAAAAATGACCGGGTCGCATGGATCATGGCGTGTGAATATGCAAGCTGCAAAACCTGACTCTGTCTGCAAAGTGGCGGTATCAGACTCGTCGCTCGGACACTGTTGAACAAAGGTGGTGCAGTCTCTTTCCATTTCTCAAGATCCGAGGCGAGGCGAGCGGCGGTCTCAAGAGGCGAATCTTGAGTATGAGGGTTGATTGTGTAAAGCTGTCGAGAGATTTCACCAAGTATACGGCCAAGCCTGTCAAGTCGAAGGCTTAGCTTCAGAGACATGAAGGAATGACAAGAACGAAATCGGATCGACGAACCTGTAATGAAGTACGGACGCAATCATCATGGAGTCTGGCGAACCGGTCCGGCGCCGTGGATCTTCCTGCAACATATCTTCGTCATTGATCTCACCCGGAAGTTCTTGGTCGGTATCTTCGTCATGCAGCAACCGCGGTCTCCCAAACATGACGCTGAGGTATTTGTCCAGCGTATAGGCGCTCCAAAAAATCCGTTTGCGGAGTTGTTGCTCCAGATAAGAGTTGCTGTGCTTTGACATCTTCGCCGGCCATTTTCGATGCAATCCCAGAGCCGTCACCAGCTGGAGAGCCGTGCCGAAGGTATACCAGCATTCATTGGCACGCGATGATGAAAGCAAGTAGAGACATTGACCTAGTCGTGCTTGGACACTCTCTAATCGAGGGGGTCCAGATTCCATTGAAGATGCCCATCTAGACGCCGCATACCATCGTTCGCTGTAATCTGTAAGTGTGTGGAGATGAGAAGCGGAACGTAATTTGGTAGATGCTCACCTTTCATTGCGAAATTCCCCTGGATCACCAGGCCTCTGCTCCTCATATAGAGTACCTACAGCGAAGATCATAAGGATGATGGAAGTCCGGGCTACCATAATGCCGGTAGGCGGGTTCGCGAAACAGATATTGTCTGCATAAACTTGCTTGAGCCACTCCTCCACACTTCCTCTGTGCAAGAAACGGTACGTCACCATCGAAAAGTCAAAGTAAATGCCCACCAGCTCCAGAGCCTTCTCGAAAGGTGGTAGCGTAAAGCCAGCCTCCCGGTAGTTCGAATAGGGCTTATCCCCGAATTTGAAAACGGACGTATTCCTGGAGACAGATTCATCCTGCAGTTCGCCAGGGATAGCCGACGACTCATCCTGATGAAGGCGACTCCAGACGCGGTTCAAGAACGACACACCCGACGCCGGCCCGAGATAATTACCCTCAAAGTCCGTGACAACTGGCTCCGGCGAATTACGCAGCGACACCTCCGAACCGACTCGACCGAGCTGCCGTCGCAAACCTACACCAGTCCTGGGCGACTCTCTCGACGATCGCCGAGAGACAGAACTCCGCACAGTACGGGGACCACCCCGCGCGTGATCCTCAGCCTCATAGCTCACCAGCGACGACGACGGCGGCGCAGGCAAAGGATCCGGCGGCAGGCCTCGCGAGTACGCGGCGTTGTACTCGCAGCGGAGGGAAAGGCGGGCACATCTCATACACGGCAGCGTCCCCGTGCACCGGGACTTCTTCTCCTTGCAATAGTCGCATGCTCGTGTAATCTTCTGCCGTTGCACGGGGCCCTTGGCCGCTGGTGACGATGAGTCAGATGCCTTTCGCTTCCGCCCAGCGAGGAATGGGCCGTCTGTGCTAATTCCGACGACACTGCCATTTCCGGGCGAGAGCTGTGTATGTGCCCCGTTCATAAGAGAAGCCCTCATTGGTTCGGAAGGCGAGACAAGGGACTCTGCGCAGGTCGTTTTTTGGGGCACGAGACGGAGTGGTGGAGATTTCCTGTCCTACTGTCGTCTTTTCCTTTTTTCCGCTGCCGTCGCACAGGCATCAGAAGAAAGACAGACGTTCGAAAGCGGGACACATGACGATGACATGGAGAAATTTCCGGGCGAGTTCGGAGGAGCGCCGGGCCAAACGGTAGAAGCTCCAGTCATCGTGCGGGGTTGGAGACTTGGAGGATGGAGGTACTCCACAGCTGCCAGCGGCGAGACCCCCATGTCAGTCGCCATCACTTCAAAAGAAAGTCAGCTGGTGATGTTGCGTTGTATTCATACGGGGTTTATGGAGTCGTGCTGAATATCTCAATGCAGGCTGCTCAAGACCAGGTCTCCTAGTGAACGTTCCCGTCACGTGCTCCTGAGTCGGCTGCGAGTCTTGTGCAACTACAGATGCAGAAGGAAAAAAAAAAAAAAAAAAATAGAAACAGTGTTACAGATGGATGGCAGGAAATCGAAGTCCACAGTAAAGTTCCAGTCTATGAGTTTGGCTAATTAGCTACATCATTGCATCAAGTAAATGACATGAGTCAAAGCACAGTGGAAACCCCGAGAGCGAAGCGGGACTGGTCATGCCACAATTTTTGACCACATAGATGAGAACCAGAGAAAAAGATCCTGAACTGTTCTGGACCGAGTAATACGACCGCTCCGTACAGATCGATCATCAGAATGGCGTCAAACAGCCGAGATCGTCCCCATTGTCTGAGACTAACTCATGCATAACGTATCCCCCGTACGCCAGGAATGAAAAGAAAAGACCATGAATGAACGTTCTCCAGGGTGAGTGAGTGGCCCCCTGATAGAACTTCGTGCAGTCTCAAAACTGCCAAGTAATGAATGGAGCTGTGGCGTCGTCGGCGACGCCCAACCATTGTCGACGGCCATCGATCTGGTGCTAGAATGGTGTTTTGAGCAGGTGGACAACATGGCAAAACAGGTCGAACACGTTCCGTGCATTGAGACAAACCAGCCTGCACCTGTGCGCTGTCGACAGATAAACAGAAACTCCCTTCGCGGCGGTAGACGTCAACTTGCGCGGTCGGATCAAATGAATGTTTGATCAACATGCATCCCCCGCGGCTGCAACTCCACAGTTCCGATGGCGTCAGTGAAAGGACAGATACATTCCCACTGGTCCCGGTCGGTGGGGAATCGACGCGGGTGGGAAGAGGATGATCATGTTGGTGGGAGACATGTACTGAACGGGCTAGGCAGTATGATAGATCATGAATCGATTGGGGGCAGAAAGGGGTAGTGCAAGAAAGGTAAAGACAAGAATGAGGATAGGCTGAGGAACCCACTTTATTGGCAGTCTTAGCCCATATGGTATTCCTGTTCCGGCTTGAGACTAGAAGCAGGTCAAGTGATGTTTCGAAGGCTAACGGCCATGTAGTCACCCTCTTCTTGTGCTATACAAGAATGCGGCCTAGGCTTAGCTCAAGAAAGAACTCTAATTCTGCAAAGCATTGGCACGGTGGTGGGAACAATGCTACAAATCGATGATATCTGCAGAAAGGGAGACCATCGTCGTGAACTGCCTACAGAACTGATTTCCAGATCACGAATCTTTATTCAAGATCGCGCTCAGCCCAGCATCGGGAGAGGCTTCCGCAGATACGCCATCCGGCTCTTTGACATCGGCAGACGAGCTCACAGATACGCCGTCCGGTACTTTCAGCTCAGGGACGGTAATCTCAAGGCCATCGACATCGTTTGTATGACTCAGTGATTGGGCGACGATCGAGTGTATCTTCTCGAGCGAGGCTCCCGACCGGATGACATTGATAATGGCGTCGACGTCTGTACGCTTGCCGTGCCGAATGGCCGCCAGCAGCTGCTGCACAAATTCGCGATAGTATGCTAACTCCTCCTGGACGCGATCTCGCACAACCTTACGACGTTTGTCGGCATATTCGTCAATGATGCAATCTCGGCCGTGGAGGGCGCATTCGGAACATGGGGTGCCGGTCGAGTGTGCACTACACTTTAAGACGAGTAGAGAAAGTACCATGTCAGAATAGTGTACATAGAAAAGGGGACATAAAGAAGGGCAGGTTTAAGATGCCGCGCTTCCATTCACACCGGCATATTTGCGAAAGAGGGGACGAGCTTCGAAAGGGAAAGGTACCTTGGTCCGACGTCGTTGGCACTCCGTGCAAGCTGTTGATGCTCTCCGTATCTTGCTTTCCTCAGCAGTAGGTCCCGCTGTTAGCGAATCTGACAAGGTTCTTGGAGCGATAGGGCGAAAGGGCCTAGGAGGCCCTTGGTGAGACATGGTCGGATGAGACAAGGAACAGAGATATGAAAAAAACAAGGAACCGGAAGAGGCGAGCTAAGGGAGGAAAGACCCGACTGGACTCTGGACAATGAGTTTTCTTCTGAAACATATTCCTTCTCCGAGGGGGGTTGCACCAAACCTCAAGTGCTCAAACGGCCATATGTACATGCTCTCTATCGGAAGAGCATTTGAGAAAGGTAAGTCACCTGGAGCGCTAAGCCAGGTTCGGCGATTCGACGCTGCTTAATGCTTCAGGCAAACTGGGGCAGCGGTTCACAGCCCCAGCAGGAATAGATCGACACCAAAATGATTGACTCGGCCAGTCCAAGGGTCAGTAGAGGCATGCAGGTGGGTGGGTAAGTGGGTAAGTGGGCAGAAGTGCAGAATAATCTGGTCCAAATGCGAGATTGGAGTGCACCGTCAACACTGATCAGTTTCCGGAACTGATCATCAACATTGTGTCACAGCGGAAATGAAAAGAAAAGGGGTCGGAGCCGAAGAAGCCTGAGTGAGGCGGGTAAAAGAGAAACTAAAAAAAAGATGAAGCTTTGAAATGGGATTGTGAGCTTCGACACTTTTGCCTCATCCACGGGCCGTTCCCACCTTTCCCGTGGATCCTCCCGACTTTCCGACCCTTCCAGGAGGTTGGATAACCTTTACTTCGTAGTCTTAGAGCCTAACAATGGTGAAGAATCGGGTAGAGAGATTGTCTAAGCAAAAAGACTCAAAGAATGAACAAGGGTTGGACAGGGCAACTGGCAAGTGGAAGGGCCGTTCAAGCACTCGTGCCTAAGCGTCTTTCGGGTCGAAGATCCCTAGTCTTTCAGGCTGGAGAGAAAGTGAAAGTGAATCTGGAGACAGTTGTCAAGAGTGGATAGTAGTGCCGCTCCCTAGCCTCTTCCCTCTAGGAGCGATACGGGGTTTAAAGCATTAGCCTCAGATCTAAGGGAGCTGACCCGTCAATGAGAATGCTTGAAAAGCGCCGATGGAGCATTCAGCTTGGCTGAACCAATGAGTAGAGTCCCAGTAATTGCTCTGAAGCGGAGCATCGAGGACTAGGTAGAGTGTCAGACTCTGATAGGCAGACAGGTGTCCTCAAGCAAGGGCGATTGAGCAATCGCGGTAAGATCAATCCGAGCACTGGGGCCTTGAACCCAGAGCTGTAGACTCCGTATATTTGGACCTCATTCCCCCCCCTCCTTCTTCATCCAAATCAGACTGAATTCGCTGCTATCTCACTTGGATCATCCGCGTGCAAAGTTCGAAACCCAGGAATCTCTCTTCCAGGATCCGTTTCATCTGAGGAATGCCGAATTTAGACCGATGTCCACGGGTGCACTTTCTGCATTCCATTTCGGGTCGTCTACTCTGGTTGTAGCAGCAAATATAGCACAAGTGATGTTGTGGTCTCTGGGGGCATCGAATTTGCTGCAATAGTCCCATAACTTTCTTCTTCCCGGAAAAAGTATCCGTCTGATATGATAGGGTGCTAACAGAGATATTCCGTAGTTCGTGAGGCGGATGGTTTCAGTTGAATGGGGCGCGGGCTTCTTTGGGTCAAAAAGAAACAATAACAACAATTATTGCGAGCCCCGCCAGACGCGAGGGCTACCATCTTGATCGGAAAGGGGGTTCTGCTTCGGTTGCGTCATGGGTCGATCCACGATTAGCTAGATATGTAGTGCTCCTGTGCCCATTCCGTACACGAGCTTATCCAGCCCCTATCGAGAGTCGAAGACAGCACCGCAAATCCCCACACATATCAGAACCACCAACCATGGTAGGCAAACCAAGGACCGAGGCATATGGTGGGCTATGGTGGACTAGATAGCTGACGTAGATTATCCCTGCGGTTTTCCAACAGTAACTTGATGACACTCACGTGAAATGTGGGCTCTGCCATACGCAGGTCGTACCGCTTTTTCTGCCTTGCCGCCCCCTTGGTCTAGAGGAAGAGCCATCTACTTTGTACGCCATCAACAATTCTACAAGATTCTACTCAGAACGTCCGTACAAGTTACACAGAAATTTCCCAAAAACGATCGTTACGTGTCCTGGACATGTGGACCGATGAACTGCCGTGGTAATCAATTGGTCAGGAAATTGGGCTGTGGTCGTGAAAATGCGAAAATTCCGCGGTTATTCTGGCACCTCTCCTCTTAAGCCGGTGCCAAAAAGGGTGATCAACACCGCCAAGTACCGCGAGAAACTCTACAGTGTTGATTTGTGTCATCTGTACTCCGTACACAGTAGACTACTTCAGCAACAGAGTTCGCCAATGTGGAACGTGGAAACCAGACCCATAGGGGCCTTTCTGATTCTGATTGGTGGCTTGCTGACCGATGGCTAACGGTGCCTTTGATTATCCACAGAGTAGTGAGCTATTATCTCTCAATCGAGTCTTGCGAGGAATAGACTAGGTATCCGTGATCGAAGCGACAGTCCTTGCGGACCAGCGGCTGTGGCAAAATCCCCACTTTTCCAACGGACGCTGGATGATAGGCACAATCGTACGCACAATCGTCCAAAATAGAATTGACAACGTGGTGTTCTTCGCTCGATGAAACGCGTGAATTGTGGTTGCCAGGAAAGGCGAGTGAACAAATCCACGGAGTAGTCTGCACTGGTATGCCTGGTTGATCATGGGTGGCAAAGTTGTGTCGCACCCAAGCGAAACCAATCGAAAGCAGAGGCGACGATCATGCCAGACGACCAGGGTATTCAAGTCCCAGGATCGACCTCAGTTTTGCAATATGGAATCGCTGGCTGCAACGCCAGGCCTAACAAATGGCTCGGGGATATCAGACGAATGATCAAAGAGCTCTGCAGCCACAATTTTCGTGGGTGCAGCTCGAATGAACTTCTGACAAATGAGAACGTAGCATTTGGATTGACCACCCCAGCCACATGGGTGGTATATGGCCTGTCTTTCTGGATGGGGCCTGGCGCTTAGACACCACCATCAGTCGTCGGTTCAAAATCCGAGGTTCGGATTCCCTAGGGTATCAGGACGACCAACCTCCAAGGGCGGGTCATATCACATCTGCGACGCCAGGCAAAGGGGTAGAAAATCCTGAGCTCCTGTACTCAGGTAGCTGTGTATGTACTATATCGAGCCAGGTGGTTCGAAAAGACGCGAGGAAATGCCCAGGAAACCAAAGATGAGCAGGTTATGCACAGGAGGACGTATTTGATAGATATACTGGCAGGGGAATCATGAAACTCGATACTGTACATCTAAAGCCTGATAAAAATACCCAAAAATGAACTAAAATACCTGTAGTTCAGCTCAACGGTCCACATACCCCGCAGTCCCTTAATAGACGGGTCTACCTTCGTCCCAACGGCGAAGTTCCCCAGGACTTTTGGGCGTCAATTGATGTTGATCGACCGGAGGGCGGTTGCCCTCGCTCGAAGGAGACGAGTAGGGCAGTTGATGTTTACTCTCTCCTCGTCGGGTAGCGCTGCTCTCGAGAGCATTGCCGTGAACGCCGCCAATACCCCCGATCCATTCCCAGACCCGCGCAACATCTCCACCCCGGCCCTCGCGGACCGCAGCGCGAATGTTGGCATTGCCCTCAACTACATTGCGAACACGCCTCCAGAGCTCTTCACGTCGCCTGCCGTGGAGCTCGGAACGAAGAACGTCGTCACGCAACTGACCAATGGGAATGTACGGTTCCTTCGCCTCACCGCGAGCATGTAGCGCTGCTTGTGTCGCTAGGCGATCTAGCGTGGTTGCTACGAGCTCCGGGACGCGAGCAAGATCGGATCGTCGAGCAAGAATTTTTGCACGAGCGTAAACCAAACCCAGAATCAGAGTAATCAAAATTGAAAGAGGGAGTCGATATGCGAGGAGAGAGAGTCGGATGTGACGGCGGAAGGCGCATGTGAGGGGGAGCCGTGCGATTGAGGTAGATGTGAGAACAAGGACAGCGGAGGGTCTGTGATTGCGTTGCGGCCTCTGTTAGTTCCGGTATACATGTCAGAACCGTAGTCATATGAGAGGATCTCGCATACATGCTAGGCTGGGCACGAACGAGACACCCAGAGAAAGGAAGAAAGCATAATGTCAAGGAAGAGAAATAACCCATAGGTAACTTACTGTGTTGTTTTGGTAACGACTTCATCCTGCGCAACAATCTCGCCGAGTGCTCCTTTCCAAAGCTCGTCGAATTCGGCATCACTCATGCCTCTACGGCGTTTCTGCGCAATCGCCTGTTTCAAGTCTGGCTCAGTCATCTCCGGAGACGTCACTTCTTTACCATCCTCTAGACGCTCCCCACACTCGAATTTAGCTCGTCGATCACGAAGCTCTTCAATCGCTTTGTCGGCAACAGCTTTCACACGACGAGCTTTTTCACTGTCAGGTTCGCATGTGGGAGGCAGAGGAATCAGACCTCCGAGCGATAGAGGGTGCGGTTTCAGAATGAAGTCATGATCACAGCTCGCCTCGAAGTTCGGGTAGCAGAACGCATGTGGAGGGCAGGGTTCACACTGCGGTTCCAATACACTGGCCCATTCCGGCACCCTGGTTTCTGCCAGGGACCAAGTAGGCTTGCCAATACCACAGTACCCGATCTCAATCTTCTCCTTGCGCCACCAACCCCCGAAACCCCAAAGCAAAGAGACTATGAGGATCCACGGAGCAGCTTTGCTTGCTTTACTCTGCTTGGCAGTTCGGCGTCGGATCCGTGGAGTCGTTGGATACATTAACTCCGCTTGTTGTCCCTCCAAGGCTAATTGCTCCTCTGGCGTAAATTCCTCGCCGGCACTAAGCTCACTGTCATCCTCATCCTCGTCTACTTCA